TCTCTTCCCCAAAGGGTCCAAGTAATAGTTTTGTAGATACTTTTGGGTAGGGTTTAGGGTTTAGGGTTTAGGGTTTAGGGTTTAGGGTTTAGGGTTTAGGGTTTAGGGTTTAGGGTTTAGGGACCCGCATATCTATTAAGTACCTATAATGGGTTTGGGGTTGAGGGAATAAGGTTTAGTATGTACTCTCGGGGCCGAAATATCTACTAAGTACCTACTATAATGGTACTTGGACCCATTGGGTTCTGGGCACCGAGCTGTGAGGAAGTCGATGTGGAAGTTGGTGTCGTCATCCTTTTCGAAGTCGTGAGCCTCTTGCACGGTTTAGGGCTAAGGGTTTAGGGTGTCAAGGAAGAGCTTATGTTTTAGTGGTGATTTACAGGGTTTCAGAAAAATCTATTCGGTTTTGCAGGGCCTATAATATACAGAGTCTAGAGCTTGTATCAAGGAGTTCGCAAGGTGTCAGAAGGGGAGGCGGTTTGGTTCAGGTTTTATGTTGTTGTATGTAGCCCCTTACGAGTGTCGGAAAGGAAGGGGCCCGGGCGCTGTATAATTCCATGGGGGTTTAGGGTTTAGGGTATACTTCCATCAGGGTTTAGGGTTTAGGGTTCAGGGTGAAATTCCATCAGGGTTTAGGGTTTAGGGTATAATCCCGTCAGGGTCTAGGATTTCGGGCTTAGGATCTCGTTTGCAGAACTCCGGAAATAAGGCCTCGGTGTTTAGAATTCGGGTCTCGAGCATAGAGCCTACGTAAATCACAAGACAACTAGGGTCTCATTGCCAGGACTCTGAAATGAGGCACCCCTTGTTTCAAGAGACCCCTCTCAACTGGAAAGAGCATGGAATATGTATTGGCTTCGGTTCCGCAAAATCCCTTAACCCTAAACCCTAAACCCTAAACCCTAAACTCTAACCCTAAACCCCTACTAAACCCTAAATCGCCAACCCCGCGGGTCGTCAGTGGGCAACATCCTAGCTGGACTCTAGACTGCAGCATCTTTCTTTGGACAACCTAACTTCTGGCTAGGACCCTTTAATCGGCAACCAAAGCAACCCACGTCACTGGATTTCAGGGTCTAGGCCGCAGTCTAGGCAGCATTGCGGACTGGCCTTGCCCCGGGAAAGTTATTCTGGTAGGAATACGTAGGAATACTTATACCGAAACGGAACTTCAACTATAAAAAGATGACAGAACCCCCAGAGTCAGCTGCAAGGATTCCAGACGCTCAACACTGAATCTTTATTTCCTGAACCCCAAACTCTAAATCCCTACAATGCCTGAGAGCATAATTATTATCCGGTCTCGGCCATGGGGTGCTTTCCCGAGCGGTCTGAGACCTGTAAACACGAATCATTTAAACCAACAACAACCCCAGACCCCAAATTCTAACCCCTAAAGCCTAA